CACGGCCTTTGATAAGCTCCCGCTGGCCTGTGTTCATTGGAGCCTGTGCTGTTGCTGATAGACAGTAGGGCAAAGCACTGTTAAATTTGTGTTCTCAGTTGTCTTCTTTTCGATACGATGGCGTATTAGGAGAATCAGTGTTCCTGGAAAACCACCAGGAAAAGCGGGAAGCTTCTAAAGTGTGATTATTGTAAGATTTTGTCCTAGGTTTTTCTGTTGATTGAGTAATCGGAATACTTACATCTGCGTTCAGCAGATGGTCGTGAAGGCCTGCTGGTGGCCAGGTGCTGAGAAGTTCTCGAGAGAGCTAAGACTCGACCCTGGCTCCCGAGGAGCTCTGCTACAGTCAGCTGAGGCAGGCGGATGAGCGCACGCGGGCGGCGTGCCATGGTCCCGTGAGGGCTGCTCAGCCTCCATATGAGCAAAGAAGGTGGTGCTCTCAGGTTGGCCGGCAGGTCACAAGGGCTTCCCAGAAGGTCTCATGTTCCCAGCATATAGTCAGGGGTCAGTAAATCATAGAAGGCATGAGCTGAGTTTCCAGAGAACCATTAGGAGCTTATCGGGGGGCAAAGCTGGGGGCGGGTGTCCAGGTCATCAGATGTGGGTCCTAGGAGGATGGCCGTGGTGGCTGTGTTGACGGGGGAAGGCCCGGATTGGCGCCAGGGGATCTAGTCAGAAGGCCGCAGCATGATCCAGTGAGAGGTCAGGACAGCCTGAGCTAAAGGGTGGTCATCGGAATGGCAAGGGGAGGATGCCTGTGAGGGCTTGTGACTGTAGGACTCGAGACTGGTTCCCTCACGGCGGGGCAGCAGGAGGGCCCGCAGCCTTCCAGCGTGTGTCCGAGTTCCTGGAGGGGCGCTGACTCTCTTCCCATCTGTCTCCCCGCCTCTCGATGCTCTCTGTCGTGTCTCCTTGGCCCTGCTGCATTAATTACATTCCTGCTTCCTCTTTCCCACGTGCGTCCCACGCACGTTGGTGTTCGTCCGGATTGTTGTTGAAGATGGCTTGTCAGTCCCCCGCCGCCTCTCCCCAGTTGTGAGGTCCCCCACCCCACCCCCAGCAGAAAGGGTAGGAGAATTTTGCTTTTCTTGTTAGAAAGCATGAACTCACAGAATGGCGATGAAGTGCATGTTTACATCCTGAGTATTGAGACTCCAGCCTCCTTCCTCCTCTCGCTGCCGAGAACACTGCCATCCAGGCACCTGCTGTCCAGGAAGGTGATTAAAAGCCTCGCCCCTGGTGAATCTGTCCTGCCCAACAGAATGGACCTAAAGACATCGCCAGCAGGGAATTGCCCATCCAGGTCCTCTTGGGTGATAAGCGCACACCCAGAGTTCCCATCAGCTCTGTGGTGCCTCACTTTCAGATAACTAGGGACTGTCAGATCCTGGAAGAAACTGATCTGCTTCATATGAAAAATTTAAGGAAACAGTGAGAAGCAACTTGAAGGAAGCAAACAGCAGAGAGAAAAAAAACCTTCAAAACTACCATCATTGATAGCCTTGAAACAAGAAGAGACTGCTATTTTAAGAGAAGAAAACATTGAGATAAATACATGACAGGGAAACTGAAAAATCATTCGAAGGGTTGAAAGTTGAGGAAGCCTCCCAGAAAGTAGAGCAGAAAGACAAAAAATGGAAAATCTGGGAGACATTAAAGGGTCAGTTCAGGAGACCTACCTCGAAATTGTAGGCGTCCCAGAAAGAGAACACAGAAGAGAAAGCAACAAAATGATTCAAGAAAATTTCTCAGAACTGGAAGACGTGAATTTCCAGATTGAAAGGGCCCACTGAATGCCCAGCACGGGGGTTGAAGATGGACCCATCCCAAGGCACACGATGGTACAGTGTCAGGTCCTGGGGTCAGATGCGTCCAGAGGAGTCTCTCGTGAGCCTGTGTGCCTCTCCTCTCTCGTCCAGCTCGCGTACCCTGTGCTTTATACCTTTCGTTCCTCTGCTGTCACGTCACTGGGTGTCAGGAGCGGGTGGGGTAGGCATGTCGGTCATATTTAACCAGAAGCCCCAACGTACTTTGAAAACGGGCTGAGATGTCAGATGCTACAGCTGCACCTCCTTCCATCCATCCTGCCACGTTTTGGGCTGGCGATTGTCTTTGCCGTCCCCATCTTATGTATCTTTTCCTCCTTAGTCCAATCAGAATCTGGTTGTGCCAACATAGTGTCTGCGGCCCCTTGCCAGGCAGAGCCCCAGCAATATGAAGTGCAGTTCGGACGGCTGCGGAATTTCCTCACCGGTAAGTACTCCACACGACCCCCTTCTCTTGTTAAAAAAGGGCGCTGCGAATTTCCCTCAGAACCATCTGTGTTCCAGCTCTGGTGTTAGGTACCAGGGATTCAAAGGTGGTTGAACGCAGGCCTTGCATTCACACTTATGGTCTATTGGAACTCCCAAGAGAGTCAAATCAGGAGATTAAAGTGTGCAAGGGCAGGGCTCTGGGTGTGTTACTCACTGTTTTGTCCATGGCCTTCAACACAGTGACTGTGACTTGTGTTGAATAAGTAGAAGCTCAGTCAGCCATGTAGGGAAACCTCCTTAAATGCAGCAGGTGTGAAATGGACGTTGATATCACTACCAGTGATACAGTACATCTCAAAATGGTTTTTTCCCCTTATTTCCAAAAATGCAAGACAGTAATCCTCATGAATCAGCAACACCAAAAAATTAGAAGTTGTAATTTAGTCCAGTTCGTGGGTGCTGTGATAACCACAGACACACTGAATCAGTAGATATGAGTTCTAATGAGTTTTTCTAATTCACTCTATGACTTTTTAAATTAATCACTCTAAAAAATGTAGTCGTGTAGCCTTTCTGGGGCCTTTAGTTCCTCATATGTAAAGTGAAGAAGGCTATTCAGAGGCAAAACCAAGTGATTTCGTCTAGTCCTAAGATGACTGATTATAATTTTAATGTTGAAAAGTGATTACACTAAGCGAGACCATGTTGATTCTGGTTATTAATCAAAGTCTTTTGTTGAGTACTTTATACAAAACACCTTGAGGTACAAGAAATACAAAACTTTCTCTGTCCTCAAAGGATGGAGAGTAATTAGCATGTATTGGTTAGTAGAAAATTATAGCTAAAATACTTTGAAGTTGTTTTATTTTTTTTTCCTTATTTGAACAACCCTCAGGTTAATAATTTTTAATGGTAAAGAGGCATAGTAAGTGATCAATATATAAACCAAAATAATAGACCTAATTTTGCACACTTAGAGTTGTCCTAATTTTACTTCACCCTTATAATGGTTAGTATTTTAAAGGAAAGAATCCACATTTCTGGTATTCTGTAGTCGGGCAAAATGACCAAAATGTTACAGGAAATAAAGATTACAAAATAAAACCCTGAAGAAGGTCATCTTATCAGTCTCACAGTTGTTGACTGTTGAATTCATTCTGTTGAATTGTTACAAAGATGAAAAAATTGCGAAGACTAAGGGTCTAATAAAAAGAGTCTATTATGTTTAAACTGGGAAGAAAGAAACTCCATTAAGATCCTCACATCATATAAATGTTAAATGTCTCAGAACAGTGATCAGCTGCTTTCCATGTCCACTAAAGATAAAAAAAGAAAAATTGGATTTATAAGAAGGATTTCATTCAGAGGTAAGCAAGAACTTGAAGATAATCAAGTTATTTTTCATTATTGGCATTGGTTTTTGAGGCTTTGAGCAGTTTTTAAATTTTTTAAAATCAGTTTTTAGAAAGTTATTTTACTCGGTTTTTTAAATACGGTTATGATTTCTCCCTGAGAGACTTCTCTCATCAACCTAGTGGTGAGGAAGCTGGTTTAGAAAGAAGTGCCTGGCGTCTTCCAGCCCTTCTCTTTCCCTCAGTCATCCTGTACTTACGTGAGGCTGACTGTCCTGGGCTAGGTATTGCAGGAGAGTGTATTGATGGGGGCCCGCCCTCTGATGAGGGAGCCAGGCAACGCGGAAGCTCCGAATCTGTCACTGTAATAGTCTCCATCAGCCTTTTCCTACGCAATTTCTCATCTTGTTTCAAAACTGAGAAGGCTGCTGTCTGTTACCTTGTCTGTGATTTAATTCTTTTTTTTTTTTTTGCACTATGCGGGCCTCTCACTGTTGTGGCCTCTCCCACTGCGGAGCACAGGCTCCGGACGCGCAGGCTCAGCGGCCATGGCTCACGGGCCCAGCCGCTCCGCGGCATGCGGGATCCTCCAGGACCGGGGCACGAACCCGTGTCCCCTGCATCGGCAGGTGGACTCTCAACCACTGCGCCACCAGGGAAGCCCTGTAATTTAATTTTTTAATCCTTGGTCACAGGTTATTTTGAGGGGGTGAGTATATGTGTTTTTCCTCACAGACTGCTTTTCCTGGAACATTTTTCTCCACCTTCAGGGCTCTGAAGAGCAGTCAACCAAGTCAAATGAAGAGTTATTTCCTGAGCACCAAGATGAAATACAACATGTAGTCATTAATCTGAACTGAAAGTTAACCCTAACATAAGAGGGCTAGAAGTCACAGTTTTGCATGAGATGTGACTGGGGGAGTGTTTTCATAGGCCAAGACGGAGCCAGTTGCTGGGTGTTCGTGGGAGCTGCATTTGGAGTGAAGGGAGGGGCTGGCGTGGGGTGGTCAGAGGCAGCCTTCCTGAGGAGGGTAGGGTCGACGTTAGCACTTGCACGCTGGGCATCTGTGCCAGAGTGGGAGGATCCGGCCTACGTGCGAAGGCATGAGCAAAGGGGCAGAGACGGTGATGATTTTTTCAGGAACGGCGAAGGAGCCGGCTTTGTTGAAAATGGGCTTTCAGGGAGGGATAAATTGGGAGATTGGGATTGACATACACACACTACTATATGCAAAATAGGTAACTAATAAGGACCTACTGTACAGCACAGGGAACTCTACTCAGTAGTCTGTAATGACCTATATGGGAAAAGAATCTAAAAGAGTGGATAGGTGTATGTGTGCAGCTGACTCACTTTGCTGTACAGCAGAAACTAACACAACATGGTAAGTCAACTATACTCCAATAAAAAAAAATTTTTTTTTAAGAGAAAAAAGAAAATGGGCTTTCAGATTGGAGATAAAGACAGACAAAATGGAGGCAAGATCTGACCACAGCGGTAGAAGTGTGACCCTCATCCTGTGTGATGGAGACAAGCCTGGGCGTGAATGTGGGTGTGGAAGCAGTGGACGAGAGTGTTTGTGGGAGGGGCGATGGGAGGCCAGCCTGAGTCCACTGTGGTCCCTGAGGAGTGAGACAGGGCTGTGGATGCTGAAAGTGGGGTCTTCAGTTCACAGTTACATTGTCAAGGTAGGATCTCCAGGGCTAAGGAGTAAAGAAGGGAGAAGAGCTGAGGATGCCTCAGGCTCTTTGGTGGGGGTGGGGTATACTGAACAGAAATAAGTCAGGTTTTATTTTTTACGTTGTTACGATGATAGCATCCTGCTACGTAACACAGAAGATACAGACTGTGATACAGTACTCAGCATCAGCCCAGGGGAGATACAAAGTAAATTCTAGGAGATGGTAACTCTCGAAGGAGATAACAGAGAAAGGTAAGAGGTTCTAAGGCTGAGCTCCCTCCAGTATTTCTCCTCCAGAAGCTGTGGGGCTGAGAGCTGCCGTGAGCTTGCCTGTTGCTCCAGGGCCTTTCCTACAGGACATGTAGTGGGAAGAGCATAGCCTATGGGGTCAGTCACTCTGGATCTGAATCTGGAGACAGCTGTGACTCCTAGACACAATGTGGGTGTAAGTGCCTGGCTCGTGGGAGGCACACATGCAGTGGTAGTTCTGCAGAGTGAGGTGAGCCTTCGAGGAACAGGGAAGAGGAGGAGCCCCCAGGCAGGGACACGAAGGTGCAGGCCAGCTGGTGCTGTTTCAGAGCTGAGGACGGTGTGCAGTCGGTGGGCCCAGCCCTGTGGAGAAGGGCCGGGGAGTGAGGACCAACAAGCTCGGTGTTCGTTTAACTTAGTGTCCTTTCAGTAAAATATAAGGTGTATGTTACGATTTCAAGGGAACGAGATTCAAATTGAGTTAAGACTTAATGTTAGTCTCACCTTGTTCCACATATAGAATATGTTGATTGGAGCTTTATACCTAATATACTGTTCTCTTCAGACAAGAAAGAACAGTTAAGCAGCTTTGAAACTATGGGCTGAAACAACAGTGAATTTCAGTAAGTTTTAAAGTACTGCATCCCTATTTCTAGATGGCTAGTTTTTTTTAATCCTGGACTTAGTAAATTAAAATGCCTCTCATTTTCGAAAATAAGCCTGAAACTAAGATTGTAAGGAGTTGAAAACAGCCCTTCGTCCCAATAGAATATATTGGACGTCTAATTGGTAAGGGTTGAATCTTTTTGTTTGTTTTAATTAGTATTTGGGGAAAGAAATATTCCAGAGGTCTTCTAAAGAATCACAGTATGTAAGGAAATATTGAAATCTGTATTAGGGTTCTCCAGAGAAACAGAACCAACAAAGTGAATATGTATAGAGAGATTTATCTTAAGGAATTGGCTCACGTGATTGTGGAGACTGACGAGTCCAAAATCTGTGGGGCAGGCCTGCAGGCTGGGACTCAGGAGAGCTGCAGTTCATGTCCACAGGCCGCCTGCTGGCTGATTCCTTCTCCCCGCCCAGGGAGGTCAGTCTTTGTTCTCCTAAGGCCTTCAGCTGATTAGACGAGGCCCACCCACATGTGGAGGGTAATCCAGTGTACTTAGTCTACTGACTTAAATGTTCATCTCATCTTAAAAAATGCCTTCACAGAAATATCTAGAATAATGTGTGAACAGGTTTCTGGGAACTGTGGCCCAGCCAAGTTGACACATAAAATTAACCATCACAAGTCCACCACCTATGGACTTGTAATGGCACCCTTACCCATGTCCTTAAACCATAATTAACCTGCAAGTAAAGGTGATTAACAAGGTCATAATTCTACTTAACATGGTACAGCTATCCCAAGTACAACCAAGAATGCCCTAATGCCTTCCTCAGAAGAGGAAGCAAAGTCCACAGGTGATGTTTACCCTTCTCCTTGAGATCCCATAACTTAAATACTGTGAGGTAAAGTTAACAATACTTAAACACTATGATATAGGGAATTCCCTGGTGGTCCAGTGGTTAGGATTCCACGTTTCCACTGCAGGGGGCCAGGGTTTGATCACTGGTCAGGGAACTAAAATTCCACATGCTACACGGCACGGCCAAAACAAAAAGAAAAAATACAATGATACAAAGTCACTATAACTTATGTTCCATGGTAAGGGGATAAGAAAGGAAAGAAAACAAAGATATTTGCTTATGTATAGGTATACACACACACACAAACACGTTCATAACAAAATAAGGAGGAATACTCATGACAGGTCCAGTCCTGGGTTCTGTCACTGGTCACGTGGTCATAGCTGGTCTTCACCTTCCTCTGCCACCTATTCTGTATTCCCTTTGCCTTCAGTTAGCACGTCAGCTGGTCCTGGTTCTTTACCTGGTGGGATGATGCAAACCTTCGTGCCTGAAGGGCCTGGGCCACTACTTGTCCTGCCTGGATTGGATTGTTGCATATTTCCACTCACCTTAACCTCAGGGATGGTGGTACTAAGAGATGCCCTAAGTGACCTCCTGTGTCCCAGACACACTGTCCTCGGCTCCCTGTGGAGCACAGTCCAGTTTCCCCTCGGCATTCAGGGTCACTCACCACAGCCAGCACCAGAGCTCACTGTGCCTGTTGGTAGAGGCAGGAGCCCTGACTTCAGTTCAGCGGGATCAGTGCGATTGAAGTTCATCTTCTAAGAATGCATTTGAGTGGGGGCATGTTGATCCTCAGATGCACCTGCTCTGCAGTTAATTCACCTGTGATGAGGTGAAACAGAGCATCAAGCAGAGACAGCGTGCAGGAATCATCTCCCTTCCAGTTAGGGAGATAAGATTCCCTAATGCCGTGTTCCTGAATCTTGAGCCAGGTGTGGATTCATTTTCAGGAAAAAAAGAAGAAAGAAAGAAAATGCTAGCGGAAGTGCTAAGAGCTGACGTAAAGCATTTTTATATTAATTAGGTATGTACAGACATTACACATGAAACCTTTATGCTTTATTTTGTATAAAAGCTAAACTCATTTACATATAAAGTACAAGCAAAACCACAAAAATAAACTTCAAATTGACAACAAGTGAAAGTAACAGATGGATTTTGCCAGTCATAACTTGCTACTCTAACGGGCCTAGGGCTGGTGTCACCCAGCTTCCCTGAGGTGCTGGTGCCTGCGATGGCCCTGCTCGCTGGCCACTTGCCTCCGTCCAGATGGCTGTGGAACCTTCGCTCCGTCACAGCTCTCTCTGCCCTCCCTCACTTAAGTGTCACACACACTTCTGTGCTTTTCTCATTAGCCTGTGACAAAGCTGTACACTTCTTTGAACATTCTTTGTCATGTACTTTCATGGTGTTAAAGTCTCAGGTTAGTAAATAAATGATTTAGTCTTAATGACATGAAAGTGTTCCACTTGTAAATTATCACTGCAAAAGAGAAGTTGTACTTTTTAACCAGCAAAATCAAAATGAGTACACTGACAGATGTGGGACAATTACAGATGAACGATGTCATGTTGCCGTTGAGACATGGCAGTCAGGGGGGCTAGACATGTTAATGAACCCACTAAACTAAGAACTTGATGTTACTGCAGGTGATGGGGCCAAGAGGAATCACAGAACAAAGTACAGCACTAAAACTGTATGTTAATACTTACTTGCTAAAGGCCATCCAGATAATTCTGAATTTACCTGTGTTCATTGTTTTTTAAATTATCAAGTTAAGGTTTCTGTGAAGAACTCAGTCTCCCGAGAATGCATCTAAGGTCTCTCCAAGGTCTCAGGTCCCAGTTGGAGCAACACTAATGTGCTGGGGAAAATACTAACCTTTGAAGACCTGGTACGAGCTACTGAATGCATGTGAGAACAGGCACATCGCTTAACCTCTGGCCGTCGAATTCTGGGTTTACGGCTGACTTCGGGCCGTGTTTGCTGGCCTTCAGGGTCCGTGCTCTTCCTTCCTCAGTCCCGGCTTGGACTTTGAGTGTGCAGAATTCTGTGTTGGGCTTATACTTCAATCCATAGCCTCAGAAAGTAGGGTCCCGGCCAGAAGAGGCCATGTGACGGCGGGCTCCCCAGGAGACTCTGCTGACGGTAAAGGCCCTGCTTCTCTTTCATTACAGATTCTGAATCCCAGCACAGCCATGAAGTGATGCCTCTCCTCTACCCCCTCTTTGTCTACCTCCACCTCAACCTGGTCCAGAGCAGTCCCAAGAGCACGGTGGAAAGCTTTTACAGCCGCTTCCATGGAATGTTTCTGCAGAATGCCAGCCAGAAGGACGTCATCGAGCAGCTGCAGACCACCCAGACCATCCAGGACATCCTGTCTAACTTCCGGCTGCGGGCCTTCCTGGACAACAAGTACGTGGTCCGCCTGCAGGAAGACAGCTACAACTACCTTCTCCGCTACCTCCAGAGTGACAATAACACCGCGCTGTGCAGAGTCCTCACCTGGCACATCCACCTGGATGTGCAGCCCGCCAAGAGGACGGACTACCAGCTCTACGCCAGCGGCGGCCCCTCCCGGGGCGAGGGCAGCGGCCTGGAGCCTGCCGACGTGCCCGCGCCCATCCTGCAGAACGAGGCCGCGCTGGAGGTCCTGCAGGAGAGCATTAAGCGTGTCAAGGACGGCCCCCCGTCTCTCACCACCATCTGCTTCTACGCCTTCTACAACACGGAGCAGCTGCTGAACACGGCGGAGGTCTCCCCGGACAGCAAGCTGCTCGCCGCTGGCTTTGACAACTCCTGTATAAAACTGTGGAGTCTGCGCTCCAAGAAGTTAAAATCCGAACCGCATCAAGTAGACGTGTCCCGCATCCACTTGGCTTGTGATATCTTGGAGAAGGAGGTAGGAATGTCGGTCTTTCTTCCCTGCGTCTGCCTTACTAATCAGCTTGGAATAATCGTACCAAACGTGACAGATCTTACGGCAAACGCACTTCCTTATTTCCCGCATCGTATAGCTAACGCCAGACTCATGCCTCGTAACCTGTAGCCAGTGACTCCCTGCTAATGCCCAGCCTTGGCGGAGACAATAAGCAATTAGACGTAGGATCACTGGGTCAGAGGGTCTGCGTCTTAAAGTGTGATACTGCCGCCTCCCAGTGCCATGAGCAGTAGATGAGGACACTGGTTTCTCTCCACCCTCGCCCACCCTGGCTGCTCTCGGCCTTTCGAGGGCAGTGCAAGTCCTCTGGCTTCACCCAGGGTGCCGCCATTTCGTCCAGCAGTCGGTGTGATGAGCTGGTTCGCTCTGTTTGCGGGTGGTAGTTGAAAAGGGCAGGCACAGTGGCCTGAGTTTCAGGTCACCGAGAGTCATTGCCTCAAAAAGAGCATGGGCAAAGGGAGACAGAAATTGAACTGCACAGAGTTCACCTTCCCTGAGAGTGGCGCCACGGAAGTTGTGGGTAGGATAGCGCTGTCGTATCACCACTGAAATTCAGGTGGCTCGGCCTCAAGTTACTTGGGATGGAAAACCTTTGCACCAGGTTGAAAAGTTAATGAGTAAAAAAAAAAAATCACTCGAGTTAATTTCCCGTTACTGATGAGGGTAGCAAGAATATTGGTGTACAAATTAAGCCCCTTTTCTACCTATTCCTGTTTTCTTAGTCACCTTCCAGTTAGTATGGCCTTTGAGTCTTTGCTTCTTGCAGTTAAGACAGTATAATTAGAGGAGTTTGTTAGGATGAGAAGAGAGTCTAAATTCCGATGCACCAACTTCGATTTCTAGAATTCTGTAGTGCCCTCCAGAACGTGTTTCAGTGCGCGAGTTTAGCTTCCTTGGAGACGCAGCTCTAGCGTCTTGGTGGTTCTTCACGTACAGTGAGGGATACTGCCCTCGTTTACTCTGTTTTTTACTTAAAAAAACTATTCCTACCGACCTTATTAGCTTTGATGATACTGAGTTTGGGGATTTTTCTAGGCATTAAAGAATAATACAAAGGAAGAGAGCAAAGGTAGAAAGATAGATGCAAAGATGGAAAGAACGTTAGCCTAAAATAAAAGTTTTTAAGATTACACCGTGGCTACCGCTGCATTTTGTAACATGTGAATTATATCTCATTTTTTAAAAAAAACCAAAACGGTAACCAAAAGCTCCTGTGTAAGCATAAAATTATCCCAAATGCACCTGGATTTACAGCCCTGCCCTCCAGCTTCTGTTGTCTCCACATGAAGAGAAGCTAGATTAGCCTCGGAAATGTGTTCGCTGGGCCCGCAGTGCTCCCGTCACCCGGTGCCAGCAGCCTGGGAATGGGGAGCGGGCCTGCCCTCCCTCCCCTACTTTGCTGCACACCGGATGGAGATAGCTTGTCGATTGGCAGCTGTGTGTTTTTAATATTTGCACAGCATGGCAAAACCACAGGTCCCCAGTGGAGGACTTGCCCTTCTTTCCAGTTATGTGGACAGGACAGGACCACCCTCATCACCACCAGCCTCCCCGCCCTCAGCCCAGCAGTGCAGCACCTGTGTTCTGTTCATTTAACGTCTGGTCATTCTGCCCCCAATCTGGTCGTCTTTAGGTTTGAAAAATCAAGTCAGTGTTGTCAATAATACTCAGTTCTGTAACTTGTGTATAAAACTGTCATTTAGATCTGGCCAATAGGAATATAATGTGAGCCATATATGTAACTTAAATCGTCCTAGTAGTCACATTACAAAAGTAAAAAGAAGTAGTCAAAATTAATTTTAGTAATGTATTTTCAATCCAATATGGCCAAAATATTGTCATTTCTACACATAAGCAGTATTTTTTAAATATTAACGAAGTCTGTTATAGTCTCCCTTTTTGTCCTAAGCCTTAGAAATCCGTTGTGTATTTACACATAGAGCACACGTCCATTCACACTAGCCAGCAGCCACCTTTTCTCTCCTAGGTCAGGCTGCTGTCATCTCTCACACACGTAGCAGTGTCTCACTTGCTTCCAAGTCTCACCCACTCCCAAGCCCAGTCATATTTAATTTCTTTCAGCTCCATCGGTAGCTAATTGGAGAACAGCCCCGGGCTGACTTTCAGACCCCAAAGTACCCTGATCTAGGAATGACCACACTGTGAGCTGGGCCACTTGGAATGTCCTAGCACAGAAGCAGACGGAGGGACTCCATGGCCTAAAGCAGGGTCAGCAGACTATAGTATTTGAAGATGTTATATTTCTTATTCTTTGAAAATTTCTGGTTTAAGCATGTCTCATCATGTACATAATATAGTTTATTATTACATGAAAGTACTTTACAAATTAGAAATTCCTATTTGGGATGCATCTGGGGTGGAATTTACTGTGAGGGTTTAGACAGTGGCAGGGCATTTGCGGTGCTGTTCTGTTAGCATGGGAGGCTCCGTGAGGCCAGGCACGTGTGACCCACTGCCTGTTCAGGGTTTCAGCTTGACTGTGCTGAGGCCCTAATGGGGATGGGTTGAGCCACAGAAAAAAATGTGGCCGGACTATTTTAAGCTGCGGTCCTGGCAGGGAGCTGATAGGGATAGCCAGCAGGCCCATGCTGGCTTCCCCATTTCTTGGTTTGTAGAGTCAACCAGGCACTTTTCCACAGGCTCAGGACAATGGCTGGGCCCCTGGGGAGTCCAGCTTGACTCCGGTGTGTCCTGCTCTCTGCCTGTGAGCACACAGAGGGGAGACCCACTTCCATGACTGCCTGGTCCAAATGAAGACCTCTTAAGCCTCGGAGACTACCGTGTGCCCTTGTCGGCCGCTAGCTTTCAGAGGCCCTCTGTGTAACTCACCCAGGGTCGTTTCTTGCCCCCGCAGCTCTGACACAAACTCTCCGGTGCAGAGCAGTAACTTTAAAGTGTTGTTGTAATCTCTTTGGAAAGGAAAATTACTAATATTCTTGGTAACACTCAGTAGAACCTTAAGCTCTCAAACGCTTAAGTGCTTTTAATGTTGAGTATCTGGAAGAGCCATTTTGAATCTTCATGGACATCAGTGTTTATTTTCTCTTAACTTTTCTCCAATACATAAACGTTGGAGGCATTCATTCCATTTTGAATTTAATAGTTTTCAGATTAAAAGGATGCCCTTTTTCTGTCCAGAGGCTCACGAGGCAAGCGGTTCATGAAGCTTCATCCTACCTCCTGCTCTTCCAGTGAGGTCACTTGGCTTTATGAATTCCAGGGTGAGGACAGCTGCAGTTTTAAGGAGCTTGTCCGCGAGAGAATGAACGGAGAGTGGGTTTGAACACAGAGAGTGTGCTTGCGGGGAAGAGGATGAGGAGAGGGGCCCCCCCCACACCACAAGCCGTCCTTTCTGTCGCCACACCTAGGGATTCATTTCCAAGACTCACATGAGTTACTTGGCTTTATTTAGAGCAATTCTGACTCCACGCCTCATTTGTTACTTTGGCAAAATATTTGAGACCCTCCAGAGAGTCACGGTTTCAAAACTCTTCTTTCCTTTGGACACCAGCCGTTCATGCCTGGTCACAGGGTGTGAGCATAACTTGCTGATGGCTGCACCCCTGGCCTACTGTTATTTCTGCGGTATGTCCAGGTTTTAGTTTTGGATGAACTCCCGCAGCGGTTCTGTATAAAAATCTTGAAACCGCGCCTGCCTCCATCACTGGCCCCAGGCGTGGCGGTAACAGGCATGTGGAGATTTTTCTAAACGGACTGGAGACAGGGGGCAGCATGGCCTGCAAAGCAGCTGAGACTGACGGGCGAAGACATGCCAGTAGAAGAGCATCTAAGAACATAAGTTCAAAAGTACGTCTTTTCGAGCGATCGGCTCTTGAAATCGGTTCTCCTCAACCTAAGAGCAAGGTCCACAGTCATCGCTCTGCACTAGTAGCCTTGCTGTGGTCTTAGCTGCGAGGTGAATTTAAGGAAGGCAATTTGTAAGTGGTAGGAGACTTCTTATTCAGTTATGCAATTAAGAGTTCTTCTCCTGGAGTCACCGTAAAGAGCAGGGTCGTTCACTGAGTATATGCTGTTTCCCAAGCAGGTCTGTTTCTAGACGTTTGTTTTCCATGACAGACCACTAAACGCTCTTCTCTTTGTGTGTGTGTGTGTGTGTGTGTGTGTGTGTGTGTGCATGCATGCATGCGTGCGTCCCCGCAGGACGACGAGGACGATAACGCAGGCACGGAGATGAAGGTCCTGCGGGGACACTGCGGGCCAGTGTACAGCACCAGGTTCCTTGCGGACAGCTCAGGGCTGCTCTCCTGCTCTGAGGACATGTCCATCAGGTACTGGGACCTCGGCAGCTTCACCAACACTGTGCTGTACCAGGGCCACGCCTACCCCGTGTGGGACCTGGACATCAGCCCGCACAGCCTGTACTTCGCCAGTGGGTCCCACGACCGCACGGCCAGGCTGTGGTCGTTTGATCGGACGCACCCGCTACGCATCTACGCCGGGCACCTGGCAGACGTGGACTGCGTCAAGTTCCACCCCAATTCAAACTACTTAGCCACGGGCTCGACCGACAAGACGGTCCGGCTGTGGAGCACCCAGCAGGGGAACTCGGTGAGGCTCTTCACGGGCCACCGCGGCCCCGTGCTCTCTCTGGCCTTTTCCCCCAACGGTAAGTACTTGGCATCGGCGGGCGAGGACCAGCGGCTGAAGCTGTGGGACTTGGCGTCCGGGACCCTCTACAAAGAGCTTCGGGGCCACACGGACAACATCACCAGCCTCACCTTCAGCCCGGACAGCAGCCTGATCGCGTCGGCGTCCATGGACAACTCGGTGCGCATCTGGGACATCAGGAGCGCGCACTGCAGCGCACCCGCTGACGGCTCGTCCAGCGAGCTCGTGGGCGTCTACACCGGCCAGATGAGCAACGTGCTGAGCGTGCAGTTCATGGCCTGCAACCTCCTGCTGGTGACCGGAATCACACAAGAAAATCAGGAACATTGATTTTTATCTTTGATGTAACGGACTGGGGCGTGCGAAGGGCTCCAGACGACAAGTCTTAGGACAGACGTATGAAATCACTGACTGACTGTGAAGGACTCCCCGCGTCCCCACGCATCCCCCCTCGCGCCCCCACGCATCCCCCCTCGCGCCCCCTCATCCCGCGGACATCCCGAGCCCGCCACCCTTTGATCAGCCCCCAAGTGTGGAGGGACGGGGGGAGGAAGGGCGGTGACGGGGAACGAACGTGAGATCAAGAATCACGGAGATCCCGCGGTGTCCCCCTGCCGGCCCCTTCCTGTCTCTGGAGCCAAGATTCCCTCACCTCGCCGGGGCTGCACTTGGCCAGAGGAGGTTTGCTGGGCGCCCTCCCCAGGAGCAGTGCTGCAGGGTCACTGGGTGGAAGGGACTCTATCTGGGTAGAATTCGGGGGCGGGAACGAGGAAAGGGGGCGGGGTCATCCTGGCAAATGTCTTTCCTTTTTCGTGATTGCAGAGAACCAGGATTTTTTATTATTATTATAATTATTATTATTAATGCGAAGAGGAAACCTAGCACTGGCGGAGGGGCCTTCTCTGCTCTCATCTTTCAGGTTTTACTCCTGGCACTGGCTGTGATACTTGGAATTTTGAGGTTCAGGGAATTCAGAGAATTTGGTCGTACAGTGTATTGGGAGAAAGGGAAAATTTCTGGGTGACAGATTGATCACTCCAGCTGACATGTTTCTAGAAGTGGGTGGGTGGATTTGATTGAGAAAGTCTTGGGCTCTTGCAGTGATGGTGGGATAGATTCTTTTCGTGGCTGCACTTCTATTAACAGTTCTCTCCCCTGAAAGGACAGATTGTGGTAAAGAAATGAAAATAATTGGAAGTGAGAAGTCAAAAGATAGAATTAGAAAATGTTGAATTTCCAAATGATTCTGAGGTGTGGCTCTTCTAGCGTCTTTTCCCCCTGAGATCATCCCTCCCACCTCCTGCTTTGCAATAGCAGTTTAATGAACAGTCTGTGAAACAAATCCTAAGTACGAACACACACGTCGAAAACTACGCTCTGAGGATAAAGCAACTTCTAATTTGTGGAAAAAGGATTAAATATTTCTGTTTTCTGAAAAGAGTTATTTTGTATTTTGTTTTCTATTAAAATGTATTTAGTTTCAAAAAACAAAAAGCGTTGGCATCTCTTTTAAACTGAGGACAGGCGGGGGTGTGGGCTGTTCTGGGGACACAGCTCAGCTTTCTGCAAGGTGGCAGCCAGTTACGTAGCCCGGACTCCTCGGGGAGCTGCTCTCCTGTCTCTTGTATTCTGTCCAGCTTGCTTCAAATCATTCCTCTTTGCATTCACGTGGATTATTGATAGCATACAATACTTTTTATATATCCAAACTTGCCAGTGGCTCGCCAGAGACAACATACATTTTTCTCTCTAGAGTTTTTTGGTGAGATCCTACTTCAGTTTTCTTTAAAGACCCCATTGTAAAATCTCTAAGGGGCATAAGGACGGTGTCATTTAATTAACTCAGACCATTTATTGAACCATTCCAGATAAAGGACTCATTCAAAGATTTAAATGATGCAAGAATTTTTTAAATGTACTTTAAAACAATTTTCTGGCAAGGACACCAAGATGTATCACGAAATTAAATGGGAAGACTAGAATTCTAGGCAAAAAAATTTTTTTACTTGAGCCTAAGATCCTAATTAACAGGAAATGTTTCTTATTCATAAAAATCCATATATTTGAGATACTGTAAGAAAGAATGTTTGGCGGCATACCCAGGCAGCATCACCTTTCACGTGGTCTGCTGGTAGAGCCTAGAATTCAAGCACGTTCGCATCCGTAATAAGTGAGCTCTGAAGTTGGATTTTGTGGTGTATTGCTGGAAACAATGAAACGCCTAAATTGGGCTGAATCTTTCTCAGAAGTGAAAGGACCACCGATTCTAGGCTTCATTTTTGTGTTTTAATGCAGAATTTCTCTGATTAAACACAGAAGTGCACTAGGTTGGTCGGCCATCACACTACCAATCACATACACACTTTGTGATTTCAGTTCAGGCTCTCAGTGATCTGCATAGTTGGCCTTTTGTGAACTAATCTTAATGTGGGATATAGTTAAATTACCCCACATTACTTCCCCAAACCCTTGGAAATATTATAAGGTTGTGTATGTGTCCTTATGTCCACAACGGTGCATGAGAACATGGTCACACTCTTCAGGTCGCTTTCTTGTACTGCTTTATTTTATCTTATCTTCAGAGCAATCCTGTGAGGCAGACAGGACTAGAGATATTACCATTTCGTAGGTGAAATACCTAAAATACCCAGAAAAGCTGTAGTATCTGTACCCAGCATGGAATAGTCAACATGTCTCAAGTGTGTTATGTAGACGATCTATATTCCAAACCCTCAAGTTCTAGCTAGAGGGTATAGTCCTGAAGATAGAAGAACTTATTTTTTAAAAACTCTCCAAAAAGGAAATATGAGTATAAATAAGTTATTTAACAAGTATATGTATACAGCTCTTACTCTCTACCAGAAACTGCTCCAAGGGTTTTATGAAAAGTAACTTATCTCCATAACAACGCTGTGGGTTAAGTGCTGTTTATAATCCCCATTTTACAGGCGAGGAATCTGAGGCACTGATGGATTAAGTCACTTGCCGAGTGTCATCAATTACAGCTAGTAACTGATGAAGCCAGAGTTTGAAGTGGGCAGTCTGGCTCTGGGTCCATGCTTCATCCACGCTGTTGTCTCCCTTCATTCCCACAGAACCAGGTAAAGAGTGACCTGAGGTCTCTAGTAACAGTGTTCCTGGCAGTAGTTACAAGACTCATGCTTCCCTTTGCCAGATAAATCAGTAGAAACAGCAGGATCAGGAACTGCTAGTAAGAAAAAACTTAATATATAGCTAAAAGAAACCGCAGAATATTCACTTATTTTGAAGCACAATGGTAAATCTCTGCAATGTGTTTAAGGTGGGGGACGGGGGAACAGCTAAAATTTCTTAGACTGACAGGCTCAGAAAATCTGACTGTAATTTAGCCATATAGACTAGCCAAAAGAGAGAAAATTAGGATAAAGGAAAGTAATGTAAGACATAAAACAGGAACCAATTTAAAGCTTTTATGTTCAAGATCCAGCTTCTAAGGGTATCCATGATTCCTAGTTTTTCATTTTATTCCCGTATTTAAAATGTCTTGGTTGTATTAAAAAAAAAAAAACCTGTTGCATATGTAGGCTTCTGATTTTGCTATCGCCCAGATTGGTATTAAGTACATGGATTAAAAGATTAGTCTGTACTTCAACTTGTCTTTCAGTTGCATGTTTTAGAGAAGTGTCCATTATGTCTATGCCCGGCCCACACCAAAACTTCATATTATTGTCACCTGCATAGTAGCCAAGTGACTCAAACTGCTTTGTGGGGAGCAGAAAATCTTCACTGAGGAGCTTAAGGAATGCAAATGTTCCCTGTCAATTTCACACGTTGAAGGACACTTAAATACTCCCCTATGATTGACTGAAATTCAAAAACAATTTTTCTATGTTAATATGTGAGTGTCTGTTACAGTCAGATATCATGTTAGTGGGTGGAAATACAGTGGTAAGCAAAACTGACACAGTCCCTGGCTTGACTTTAGAGAGGGAGGCAGATATTGATCAAATGATGCCATAAATATATACATATATGTTTTCAGTCTGTAGCGCGTGCTGTACTGGCTGCAGTGGAAGAAGAAACCCAGGGATCTGGAGAAGTAGTAATTAAGCCGAGGCCTGTAGGATAGGTGAGAGTTATCCAGGCAGAGTCAGGAGAGAACTGGGCACACTCAGGGAAGTCCAGTGGGGCAGGTAAGGAATGCCACAGCGTGACATGAGCTTGGGTAACTGGCATGGCGTCAGGCACAAACAGGAGTTTGGGATGGAAGCCACTGAAGGGTGTAGAACAGGAAAAGGATGCAGCCCGGTTTCCACCTTAATATTGCTGGCAACAGGAAGGCATACAGACACATGTTTACAACTGGAACTCACTTCAACGTCAGGATAACTAGGCATCGATTACTGAACCCAGGCTGTCAGGCACTGCGGGGCACAGCTGAGTGGTGGAAGCCAGCTGCCCTGCCGAGTGGCCCCCCGGGCAGTGAACTGAGAGCAGCCTCCAACCCAGAGCCAGTGAGGACCTAATTCTGCCAAAGGCCACGCGGCTGAGCTTGGGTGCAGATCCTGCCTGGCTGAGCCTCAGATAAGACCGCTCCTGACCAACCTGGAAGCAGAGGCATTCAGTAAGTGCCCAGATCCCCAGCTCACATTGGGGTGAAAGAACTACTGATTTAAAAAGAAATCACTGGCAGCTGGAAGGAACACAGAGTGGGGGCAGGGTGGTGGGCAGTTAGGGTCATTGCAGTCGTGCAGGGGAGAGAGGCGGGCGGCGTGGGCCAGAGTGGCTACAGTGGGCAAGGAGAGAAGGGGACAAGTCCAGTGAGTATTTCAGAGCTGGATTTGGCTGGACTTTGTCCTGGGTTGGATGGGAGAAAAGAAGAAAGGAATAATGGATGACCCCAATGTTTCTGGCAAGAGCGATTTCATAGCTGGTATTGCCACTTACTGTGATGAAAATACTAGAGGAAGAGGAGGTTGGGGAAGGGATAAAGTGTTCACTTTTGGGCCTCAAGTTTGAGGTGATTATGAGAGAACCAAGTGAAGACGTCAGACGCCTTTAGAGAGGGACAGACGCCTGGCGCTCAGGAGACATCGGGCCTCGACCTGCTAATTCGGGAGTTGTCTTCATTATAGTGCTTTCTGCCACGTGGGACAGAAATAGGACTCCAAGTGGCTTTAAAAATAACGAATCTTATTGGTTCACATAACAAAGTCTAAAGTCTAAAGGTGTGTCTCCTGTGCAGAGCGCTACCAACAGCAACGAGGGCCAGATACTCATGTCCAGTGGGAATGTGACCTTACTTTCCATTCCATGCTCTTAAGAACAAGGAAAAAAATTTCTGGAAGCACCAACAAACCTCTCCGATTTGGATTAGGCCTGCTAATCACTGAATCAGTCCCTGACAGGGCAAGAATCCTTGGCATATAGTTGGAATTGGAAACCTTGCAAATAGATGAGATGACCAAGGATAACCAGGAGATCAGGGGTTAGGACTACGTCTTGATGTTCCCTGACATTTAAAGGTCAGGAAGGAGTTACAGCCAACAAAGGAAGAAAAACAGGAGAGGGTACCGTTCCAGAAGCCTAGGGGAGAAAATACTTCAAAATCGGTAATGGTCAGCTGTGCTACTGAGAATTCACAAAAGATAAGGATTCAAAATTATCCATTAGATTTGGTGGGGAGGGGTGGTGGGGACTCACAATCTGAGCACTAGAAGTTATGGTTGAGTAATGAGCATTGAAAGACCGTTGAAACTGATTGAAAAGAGGAAAGGTAATAGGAAACAAATAAACTGTGAAGGTGACACACACAGCAAGGGAGGAAGGAGAGATTTTGTACAACCCTGCTAAGACAACTGGCAATCGACAGGGAAAAAAAAAAAATTAGACCCATAACTTACTATGCATGAAAATCAACTCCAAGTAAAATAAAGCCTAAATGTGAAAGGCAGAAATCTAAAGCATTTAAAAGAATATCCTCATGACCTAGAAATAGGAAGAAATTTCTAAAGACACAAAAGGCCCTCAATAAAAAAAAGAGAAGATTGATTAAATTCAAAAACATCCATTCATCAAAAGAACCAAAAAAGAAAAAGTGAACGGGCTATAAATAGAAGGACGGACTAGTAACATGCGATGGACATAGACAAACATCTGGAACCGCACTGGACAGTAGAATCAGCTGTGAGGAGGGGAATGTTCTCAGGTTCTCTCCTGTGGAACGTTCCTTGAGGAGGGGAATGTTCTCAGGTTCCGTCCTGTAGAACGTTCTGTGAGGAGGGGAACGTTCTCTAGTCCTGTCCCGTCCTGTGGAATGTTCTCTGAGGAGGCGAATGCTTCTCTGGTTCTGTCTTGTGGAACGTTCCTTGAGGAGGGGAATATTATCTAGTCCTGTCCTGTGAGCGTTCTGAGACGAGGGGAATGTTCTCAGGTTCTGTCCTGTGGAACGTTCTGTGA